ATATTTCGGCGACGGGAAAATGGGGGCATTTTGCACTGTTGACACTTCCCATCCAACTGCCGACCCCTTTCCAGGGAGCCATTTCGTGAGCTTACAAGAGTGGACAGGTTTTACCATGGTGGCTCGACGAGCTTGCTTCAGCTTCACAAGAGTTCACAGGTTCACCAGAGTGAGACTTGTGATCGGAACTAGTAATGCAGCGAAAGTGCAAAATGCCCCCCCCCCTCCTCCTCCCGTCGCCGAACTGTGCTCTGCTACCATTTTGAATTTGAACATTTTCATTCATTCTTTCTACCATTCTGCCAGTGGCTTCGCTAGTCCAGCTAAACACTAACCAGGAAAGCTTCAGGAAGATTTCGACAAGTTCTATGCTGATATGAGCAGAACAATGGAGGAAATTGATCACAATGTTATGGAGCTGATCGAAGATTTGCCATCGGCTTATGAGCAATATAAGCGAAATAATGGACAATGAAGACCAGACACTAGCTGAGCGAAAAGAAGCGCTTGAAGAGATGAGATCGGAAAATCCGGAGGTATGGATTTCAATTTCTGAATACAAACAACCAGGAATTTACAAAGTACAACACAGGGTAGGGGCGACGGTATGCGATAGGACTGATTTTATGCTTATCCCTATGATTCAATAATCGGCGCAGTTCGGCGACGGGGGGAGGGGGGGGGGCATTTTGTACTATCTTGCTTCCTTTAGTTCCGGTTTACAAGTCTCACTCTGGCAAAACCTGTGAACTCCTGTGATGCTGGAGCAAGGTCGTCAAGCCATCATGTTAAAATGTTAAGAGCTGTCAACTCGAGAAGAGGCTGTCCAGATTAGGTCGACACGTCGATGGGAAGTAGCAAAAGTGCAAAATGCCCCCCCACCCCGTCGCCGAACTGCGGCTTAATAATCTATTAGGCCATCGCCGCACCGCCATCGAACACCATGGGCTTTTTCTAGCTTCTATTCAGCGCTTCCTACATTGGTTTCCAAGCACAGTGTTCAAATTAATTTCTTCTGGATAGTCCCGCGTATGCAGCGTCTCTGTAATCAAAAATATACTGGATCAGGTCAACTAAGCTGACCGATATTACAATTATAAGAGATGAAATGAAGTGAGTTGCGCTTCTCTCAGTAGCCAAAGCAATCTAAGTTCCCAGTCGAAGGCAACTATCGAGATGGTAATATGAGCGATCAACTTTAGGCGCGCAGAAAATATGGGAGGGTGTTCCCAGTCTGCATGACCCGGAAATGGGGAAGGCGTCGCTGCGTATTTTATTTAAGCATGGCAATTTTGGGCATGTTTTTATTTTGAACGAATTCCCCTTTGTTATCTGCTAGGCAAAGACACCATTAGATTGCAGTCGTCACCAACTGGCAATAATCCACAGATGTCACCGCCATACCTAAGTGAGGAACGTAGCCGCTCCCTCTCCTTCTCCAAGATATGAAATGTAAGCAGTCACGAGCCCAGCAACAGCTGAATATCCCTAATTCTCCACTTTTCTACAGTTGACATCGCAGCAATCAGGCACGGCAGGAGGCATGGAATGGGCTTGAATCGACCACTATTAGTAGGAGCACATTCCCCGCCTTCTCAAACCGCTCCACTGTTTGCCACCTTAAGTGTATACATATCTCCACCTTGGCTTCACCTCGCAGCCCATCGCCCCAGGCAGCTACTTGCCCCTGCTTGAAATCTTCTCTTCTCGCCCTCAGATACGAACCGTTGACAACCTGCCAACTTGCAGTGCTCGCTCCAGAAGCATGGTCGGCGGGATTTTGTTCCGTTCAACCCCCCCCCACCCGCGAGGCACAGTTCCCGTATCTTCTATAAAAAAGTAACTATGACCCCAAGCAATGTTCAGTTATTTGCGCGTGTGCCTAAGCTTCACCATTGATCAGTTTAAATCACGTGCAAGGAGTCGCTGAATCCGAAACGAGCCCCGTTCCGTCGCCGTGACATCGTGGTCGTCATAGTTCACATGAAGACATGGCAGCAGATCTGGTCGTCACAAACGTACTCCACCAGATCGTGGGAAAGAAAGAGATTACAGAGGCAAACTAAACCAACGACAATTGAAAGTTGGACCTGCATGCTCGTAAAATTTGTTTTAAAAAAAACTTCGTACATTTGTATTTGAACACTGTCTTGCTGCACATTATATAGGGGGAGGGACAAACAAAAGGAGGACCCTTTGGCCGAGTCACTATCGATGTCCAAATTCCCAAATAGGGCAATCTTGAAATTTTGCTTCACTACTGATTACTTAGTACGATGTCGTTCGTCTTTGAGCTAAATTGATTACCAGCTGCGGACTTCGCCTTCAAGTGTACAGGGGGGGGGGGCAAAAAAACATTTGGCCGAGTCACATATCAGCAAAGTTTTCGCAGCCCAGAGAGAAGATACGAGTACCAGGGCGGAAGATACCCAAGATGTTCCTCGATAAGCAGGAGCAGGCCCTCGCCCATCACCTTCATGTACACCAAAATATGAAGCCATCTGCAATCGCAGCCGGACTGAAGAAGGCCTATGGAATTCACGCCACCTCCAGCTGCGAAATTTCTGTATGGAGTCACCCATGGAGAGCTACCTGGAGAACGGCACTCTTAATCCGGAACCTCCGACAACGTCGCTCTGGTCCAGGATGTCATCTTCACCGCACCTGCCAAGACGCGAGCTGGCATGGTATGACCGGAAGTTTCTGAGATGGGAAGACCGATATTTTCTTCGTGGACCCCGGACTGAAAGTGAACGCTGACTGTTACATCGAGCAACTCGAGGAGAATATCCTGCCTTCATGTCGTCGCCTGTACCATCTTGGAAACTTCGTACTGCTACAGGATTGGGTGCCAGCACATGGAATCGAAGGGCGTTGGGGAAACTCTCGCCTACTTGGAATCGAAGGCATTGAGTACCCAAAGAAGCGGAATATCTGAGTGTGCCACCTGAACTGAACCCCCTCGATTACCGGGTTCCTGGCGGAGCTCAACAGGGTGGTCTACAGTGGCGGAGAAATCAACGATCTCGCTGAACTCAGGCACCGAATCACGGTCGCGTGGCAGAATCTCTCGATGGCGTTCGTCCAGAAGGCTGTGGCGGAGTATCGTGATAGTGTACAATGTGTTGTTGAATTTGGTGGTGGAAACGTCCAATCAGAATTCAATAAAGTGTAACTTATAGCGCCTTGAAAGTCGAGGAAGAAAAATGTCTTTTTATATTGCCCCCAGTGTATACATATCACTGCGATCAGTCGGGTCGCAAACAGTTACTGCTCACCTGTGGCCTTCCACCACTGGTTGTTTCCTTCCTAAATCGATCACTACTCGATCGCCATTGGTAGAGCAAGGCAGCCGCATGCCGCGCTGTGCTCGCCGCCTCCGACTCGTTGCAATGTTATAAACTATCATTGTTATCGTCGCGATCAGCTGAGGCGTTGTCGGGAGGGGCGGAATGGGCTTGCCTTCAGCTCTTTTTTCCACTAATAGTGACTGGTTGAGGAAGAAAACAACCAGGTAGAGATCTTTATGGGTGGGCTCAATCTGTGAGTCCCAACACCGCCCCGACTGGCTGTGACGATATCAATACGATATCAGTTGTAACATAAACATCATCTCACAAGCACTGTAACAAAGAGTGAAGTTGCCTGGTTGCCTGAAGCATTAAATCAGTCGTAGAAGTCAAAGAAGCTTAGGAATTCTGATGTAGCTGAGGCTGGGTACTCCCAGGTAATATGTAAACGGGAAGGGCTCCCGTAATACTGGGTACTGACCTCAATGCACGCGCTAGGACAAGAAACATCGATCCTGTTTGAAGAATCACTCACCTCGCTGTTTTCGTGAGGGCAGTTCAGCGACGGGGGGAGGGCATTTTGCACTTTTCCCGCTCCACTAGTTCCGCTTTGCATATCTCATTCTGGTGAAACTTATGAACTACGCGAAGCTCGAGCAAGCTCGTCGAGCCACCATGGTAGAACCCGCCAACTCTTGTAAGCTAAGCTCATGAAATAGCTCTCTAGATGGCTTGACACGTCGACAGGAAGCAGCAAACGTGCAATGCCCCTGTCGCCGAACTGCTCCGTTACCGTAAGAAACCTTTGCACTAGATTCAATCAATTTGGAAGTGTTTCGCGAGATCGGACTGCACTAGGGACAAACTTACACTCTCCTCCGTGGATCCTCTTCCTTGCCATGTGCGAGGGGAAAACTTACACTCTCCTCCGTGGATCCTCTTCCTTGCCATGTGCGAGGTGAAGACGGGTCAGCAGCTGCGCCAATCCTTCGGTTCAAAGTGTGCACGAACGGGGCTGGAGAGTAAGCGAGACCGGAATGTTAACTTTGCCGTCGTGCCACACGGCTATTAGAACGCCAAACCAAAGCCAAACGCCCTACCTGCCTGCGCATTTTGCTTTCGCTTGTTCTTTACCTCTTAGATCGTGTTTTGATCTTCGAATATACGGGGGGGGGAGGCAAAAAAAAGTCACTTTGCTTCATTGACTTTCGAGGCGCTATAAGTTACACTTTATTCTGATCGGACATTTCTACCACCATATTAAAGAGCATATTAAATACTATTATGACACTCCGCCACAGCCTTCTGGAGGAGCGCCATCGAGAGATTCTGGCACGCAACCGCGATGTGGTCCCTGAGATCAGCGAGATAGTCGATTTCTCCGCCGGGTAATTGGAGGATTCAGGTCAGGTGACCTACTTGGATATTCCATCTTCTTTAGGTACTCAGCCCCCTTCCATTCCAGGTAGGCGAGAGTTTCTCCAACGCCCTTCGATTCCACGTGGTGGCACCCAATGCTGTAGCAGTACAAAGTTTCCAAGAAGGTACGGGCGACGACATGTGGGGAAGATATTCTTCTTGAGTTGGTCGATGTAACCGCCAGCGCTCAGAGCCGGGGTCCACGAAGAAAATATTGGTCTTTCCATTCCAGGTGCGTCCGGTCCATACCATCAACCCGCGCCTTGGCGACTGCCGTGAAGATGATGTCCTAGACCGTGGCGACGTTGTCGGAGCTGCTCGATGTTGGAGGTCTTCCAGATCGAGAGTACTGGTCTCCAGGTAGCTATTCCATGGGTGACTCCACACTAGAAGTTTCGCAGCTGTTTGGAGGTGACATGAATTCCAAAGGTCTTCTCCAGTCAGGCTGCGACTGGAGATGACCTCATATTTTGGTGTACATGAAGGTGATGGGCGAGAGGCCAGCTCCTGCTTATCGAGGAACATCTTGGGTATCTTCCGCCCTGGTACTCGTATCCACGTCTCTCTCTGGGCTGCGAAAACTTTGCTGATATGTGACTCGGTCGAAGTGACTTTTTTTGGCCCCCCTGTATATCAAACGCTATCTTAGAATAAACGTAAGCGCTCCACATTGAGGAAGCACCTGCGGAACATGGAGACAGCACACCCGGGTACTGCTACCCTCCAGCTACGTTCCCGTGCACTTTTGAGCAGAGAAAGTTGCCCGCTACCGAAGCTGCAGACCCATTAAGAGAGCGTATGGAAGGGGGGATCCTCGCAAGCGATCCTCTATAAAGCACTTATTGAGTGAGCACAGCACACAAAGCTTTATTTTTCACTGGCAATTTACTTCTGTTCAGACTTCTTATCCTCCTCAGAGCTGCTCGATGAGCCCAGTTCGTCACGGCCAGGGATGGTTCCAGCACCATCGTCTTCTGATTGCTTCGTTTCGTCATGATCTGAATCTGAATGAAAGCTTGGCCAGTCATCAATATGATGATGCTTCATCATATTGAAACATCGTACGTGAACTCATGTTCGAGATCATCTCTTTCATCTCTTCCTGTATCATACTTGGCATAACCTGCGACATACCATGTGGAGCGTGCCAATGACCTGTGAGTGGGCAATGATATCGTGGATTGAGTTGAGCGAAGGTGAATCTCAATACACTGAATGCCTGAAAATTGTTCCTTTGGGTTGTTTTCAATCACACTCTTAACCTAAACCACTTCGCAACGGACCCGCACATTTTGCGAGTACCCGGGGTTGGAATTATTCCAAGACTCACCCTCATGTTGCGCATGAAAGAAGGAGTCTCCGCCGTCGATCAGTCCCTTTGTGGGATGCGGCACGCATTCTACTTCCATTCAGAATCGTAGTGGCTTATTGAATGCGATGTGGCCTATACAATGACTTGCGGGGCCAGCCGATGTACAAGTCAGTGTTTTATCCTCCCAGACGAATCTGGTACCAATTTACCGTCCCCGGAGGGTAGAAGGCTTGGTTGGCCTGGGCGGGAGTCGACCCGGGATGAACCCAG